TAGGAGGTCTATCCACCTCCGAAAAAAAATCCAAGAGCGTGCCCGAAACGGCAAGCACGCGTCGTCTTTCGAGGCAGACCGCCGCCATCTCCTGCGACGAGGCCAGGGCCAGGCGCCCCACCGTGCCCAGGTGGGTCTGCTGTGCGGCTCGTGTGGGGGCATCAGCGATGCGGCGGCGCTGCTCATCACCCCCTCTCTCCCCGTCCTGCCCTGCGCTCGTGGAGGCTGCAAGAGAAAGCCAAGACCGAGACAACATCGAGCCAAGATGAATCGGGGATCTCTGAGAGCCGCTGGTTCTGCAAGATGCATCGGGTGCCGCGGCCATTCCACAGCGCTCCAGAACGCTCTGGTAGGAACAAAGAAAAACGACAACACTACTACCACACGCGCGAAGCGCCATGAAGGGTCCTCTGGTTGGTGGTTCCCCCCCTCGCTCGAGACATCCCCCATGCTGCAGCTCGGGCAGGCTTCGCGCCATCCCATCGCTGGAGTAGACACCCCTGGTGGTGGTGGTGGTGGTGGTGGTGGTGGTGGTGGTGGTGGTGGTGGTGGTGGTGGTGGTGGTGGGGTGGGGGTGGTGGTGGTGTCGCCTCTCCTTCCTCTGATATAATGTTTTCTTGTACCATGTGCGACAATGCCAGGCACTGGTCCCGCCACCCCCTCCCCCACCCTGGTCACATCACGATTCGTGCAGGCGCAGTCTGGGAACCAGCTAGTCGTCGAAGCATTCCCGAACGGCGCTGGCGCGAATCGTGACGTGGCCAGCCCCCTCTTTCTTCACCCACCCCCGGGTCATGCCCCTTATTTAACGGGCGAAGAACGGTATAGAATAAACTTTCCGCCGTCGGGGCAGGTGTCCCCGACGGCGGAAAGTTTATGTTATACCGTTCTTCGCTCGCTGACTTATCGCCAGGGCATAAAAACGGTATCGAGTGTTCCAGAACGCTCTGGGACGATCTGTCCTGGCCCTGGCCGCCCACCTTGTCCGAAGCAGGCCGCCGCCCTCGCTCCCGGCTGGCTCGCGGCGGCCCTGGCAAGCGAGGCGAGGCCGCGGCCGCCTTGACGAAGCGGATCGCGGACAGGGCCTCCTGGATGAACTGCAGCCGCTTGCCCGAGCACCAGAAGTAGGCCCCGAGGCTGTTCCTGCGCCGGAAGGGGCAGGCGCGGGGCACGCGCGCGGGACGCCGGCCGACCGCGGGTCTCCCGAGGCGGTGCGGCGTGACAGACCGTGCGGTGACGTCGGCATCCCCAGAGGCCCCGCCGCACGGTCCGTCGCCACGCGGTCTTGGGGACCAGGAGGCCCCCATCGCCGGAGATCCTCGGAGAACGAGCCGGGGCCCAGAGCCGTGCCGTCGCCCGACATCCCCACCTGACACACCACACGGTGTGTGCCTCCCGCGCCGTGCGGGGACCCCCGCCAGCTGAGGCAGAAGGGGGCCGCGAGCGAGCAGGGCCGCGTGCGCTGTGCGCTGGAGGCCCGCAGAGCTCCAGCGAAAGGCAAGAGGATAAGGAGGATGCGGAGGCGGGAGAGTAGGGCGAGGACTGACGAGGAGGCGGGTGAGATGGAGGAGGAGGAGGAGGAGGAGGAGGAGGAGGAGGAGGCGGGGGAGCGGGAGGGGAAGGAGGAGGGGGAGGGGGAGGAGGAGGAGGAGGAGGAGGAGGAGGAGGAGGAGGAGGAGGAGGAGGAGGGAGGGGAGGAGGAGGAGGAGGAGGAGGAGGAGGAGGAGGAGGAGGAGAGGAGGAGGAGAAGGAGGAGGGAGAAGGAGGAGGAGGACGAGGAGGAGGAGGAGAGGAGGGGGGGAGAGGAGGAGGAGGAGGAGGAGAAGGAGGAAGAGGAGGAGGAGGAGGAGGAGGAGGGGGAGGAGGAGGAGGAGGAGGTGGAGGAGGAGGAGAAGGAGAGGAAGACGTGTGCGGCCCCCATGCGGGAACCACAATCAGACGCCCCCCATCCCAGCATTGCCCCCGGGCCACTCCCTCTCTGTGCCCCGCCCTCGCCGGGGAGAGAGCACGGGGCGGGCTCCGGGCACGACCGCGCGACGTCTTCGTGTCGAGCTGCAGAGCACCGGTATAAAAGGGGCCTCAGAACACACAAATACATACACACAAATAAAACGATTCCCTATATTTGTCCATATTTTCTGGGTTTCTGTCTTCCCCCCCCATTTCCCATATATTCCCATATTTTCCTGGGGGTCGACGATTAATTGTGTCTGTGTGTGTTTTTTCCCTCCTGACAGTAGCACGGGTGCCCTGGCTCGTGCGCGAGGTGGCGGCGAGGGCCAATAGGGTCTCTCGGGGCCATCCCGAGGCCTTCCTCGGGCCATCACGGTGAGCCCTGCTCCTCGGATGCCCGATGCCTCGGTCGCGAGCAAGGAGGTCAATCGATCTGGAGTGCCGACCGGTCGCCACCCGATCGCGACCGAACAGATCGGGCATCCACTGGTCTGAGAGGGTGGAGCAGTGGCCACCGCTCGGACGTCAATTCCCTGTGCTTCTTTCGGTTTCGTGCGTGGCTTTTTCGCCAGATGATCAAGGATGCTCCTTGATGGCCCTCGCCGAGAAAAAAATGCACACGTCCGAGCGATGCCAGGAGCAGGGGGGGGGAGGCGAACGAACAACAAACGAACCACGATGAGCCAATGACGGGCGGCCCGGGCGGGCCCTGCACTCACAGCGGGAAGAGGAGGAGGAGGGGGAGGAGGAGGAGGAGGAGGAGAAGGAGGAGGACTCTGCTGGACTCTGCTGAACGCCGCGCACGCGGCCGATCCACCTTTTCAGCAGCCCCTGGGTCGCAGGAGGAGCACGAGCCTCCGCGAACCCAGGCGCCGCAGGAGGAACACGAGCCTCCGCGACGGCAACGGCGCAGGAGGAACACGAGCCTCCGCGCGAAAGGGCCAGGCGGCGGAGGAACACGAGCCTCCGCCCGCCAGGCAGCACCGCCGCAGGAGGAACACGAGCCTCCGCGACAGTACCGACCGAAGTGCCGCAGGAGGGCACGAGCCTCCGCGGCACTCAAAACTCGGCCGTCTTGACGGGGAAGGTGCTGAAGGAGTCGGGGAGGCCGAGCTTCACGATGACCTCACGCTGCTCGGACTCGCCCAGAGCCAAGTACGCATCGGTCATCTCAGCAGCGGCGTCGTCACACTCGGCCTCCGCACGGGCCAGGGCGGCCTTGGCAGACTCAACGCTCAGGCTTGCCTGGTACAAGACGGCGTTCTTCCTGGCGCACTCGGCCATGGCGTACTCCTTGCCGCTGGTGCCCCCCGTATTCACTTCCTTCAGCTCCTTCTCACCCGAGAGGCTCACAAAGTTGCTCTCGAAGTCGGCCCTCTCCTTCTCCTTGAGGTCGTCCCCCGTGGAGCCATCCATGGACATGTCCTGCTCCTTCTTCGAGACGAGGTTCTTCAGCGCCTCGAGCTCCGTCGCCACTTCATGCAAGCGATCCCTGAGCGTGTCGCGCTGGAACGTCAGCGACTGGACGGTCTCCTGAAGCTGCCCGACCTGCACGGCCTGAGTCTGCTCCTTGGCATCACAGTCCGCCTTGAGCGAGAGTATGTCCTGCTCCCGATCCGTCGCGACTTCAATCTTCTCGGCGTTGTTCGCGGACTCCCCCTTGTAGAGCCGAGAGTTCTCCTGGATCGTCACGTCCCCGTCGCACCTGGCCGACACCATCACCATGCCGCAGGTGGCCTTGTCGTCAGGGCTGCACTTGAGGTCCTTCTTCTTCGGCTCCCCCTTGTACTTCACCGGAGGCTGCTGCAGGGTGCCCTTCGCGGACCGAGTCATCCCCTGGGCCATCTCCTCCACGTACATCAGGCCCTTCTCCTCCTCGATCTCCTTCAGGTTATCCTCCAGCTGCGCCTCGTAGCTGGTCACCCCGCCCTTCTCAAGCGCCAGCAGCACCTCGTCCGCCAGCTCGGGATCAGGGTGTGCGGTGAGGCGCCGTCCCGCCCGGAACGTCACCCAGCGCTTGGCCAGGTCCAGCTCAGAGGAGGAGGAGGAGGAGGGGAGGAGGGGGAGGAGGAGGGGGAGGAAGAGCGCGGGCGAGACTGGGGAGGAGCCGTCGACCCGACACCGGCGGAGTTACTCGCCGGCCAGCGGCGCTGGGGGGGGGCGCCACACCGTGCCCAGGCGAGCCCGCGGTATGGGACATCAACGATGCGCCGACGAGGCTCATTGAAGGGGCCCTGGGACACACAAATAAATACACAAATATCAGGATTCCCCATATTTTCCTATATTTCTTGGTTTTTGTCTTCCCCTCCACTTCCCATATTTTCATATATTGTCCTGGGAGTCGACGATTAATTGTGTCTGTGTTTTTTTCTCTCCTGGCTCATTGCCCCCTGTCCCCGTCCTGCCCCACAGTGGAGGCCAGTCAACAAGGAAACCTCCCACAAGAAACCCAACCCCCTCAGACCCCAGGGGGCGTCCATCGACTTCTGGCGTGAGAACGTCCCGCTCTCCATAACAGAACCATCGAAACCCAAGGAGCCAGGGGCACCCTGGAGACGAGCAGGGCGTTTCCTGGCATGGGCCCCCACTGTACGCGAGGCGAAACCAGGGCCGGAACAACACTGGACTGGGATAACACCAGGGGATATCTGAGATTTGGCGGCTCCAGGAGGTAGCTCGGGCGCCGCGGCCGCTCCAGAGCGGTCCAGCATGCTCCGGCAGCGATCCAGGACGCTCTGGAGCGAGTCATCCTGGTCCTTGCCTTAGGTCGGGCATGTCCCCCTACTGCAGCCGGATTCTGGACGAACGAATTGAAATAAGACCAGACATAATCATATGAATGATACTAGCAACAATACTCAATCATACTAATAAAAATAATTCAAAACAATACTGTTAATCCCGTTAATGATAATAATACGAATGATAATGCGAATAATGATACGAATCGTGATAATAAGACTATCCTTCTTCTGCTTAAAAGAATTCAAAAACGGTAACACAATCGTCCCCAGACAATTTGTTGACTGTTCTCGGAAATTCCTCCTGTAGAGGGACAGGCCAGACTCAACCCTAAGCTGTGATCTCCCCTCGGCCGATGGCCATCCGCGGTGGACCGGTCGGCTCTCCGCATCATGTAGCCGATCTGCGTCATCAGGCCAAGGTTCGCCAGGGCCATGATCAGGGAGAAGATGAACCTTCGCCGCTCCGACGGCCCAGGCGATTCTCGGGGGCGCGCAAACATGGACTGGCGATCCATGGATGTGGCGCGCGGCCGCAAATGATCCATGGATCGGGGGCTGCGGCCGGTGCCGCCTCGCTCGGAGGCGAACATCCGCGATTTCCCATGGAAGCGGGACCCGTCGCTAGTCCACGCCCCCTTGATCCATATCTGCAATCGCCTGATCCACTCCCGCGCGGAGGGCGACGTCCCCCGCACACAACACCGAGGGGCAGGCCGAGCCATTGCAGAGGGAGCCTGGACACTCAAGGCCGCCTAGAGTCAGGAACTCGCCGCTATGACGAGGGGTCGGGCGACCCCACTCCCCGACTCGGTGAATGCTCGGATGGGCAGCCAAAAAAAAAAACATATTCTGGGAGCATGGTGCGTCCATCCTCGATACGCACGCAAGCGAATGGCCCCCTGAGGATGTATCCCTAGACTCCTTTCTTTTCTGAGCAGCCTGATTTTCCGCGCCAATCTTGGGGACTGCGGGAACGAATGAGCCTCCGAAACTACTCTCCACTCCTCCTTCTCCTCCTTCTCCTCCTTGCTCCGGCTCCTCATCAACCTCCCACTGGGCCTTTCCGCCCGCCTCTTCCCGTCATGGTCATTGCCAACCTCTGGCGCGCCGCCGTAGCCTCCCAACCTGCGTCCGATGGCCACGGCTCGCCAGAGCTCCCACCTCTCCGATCGGCCCATGCGCGCCACACCTGAGGTTTGCGGCATAAATGCTGCTGTCTGCTTCCTACTGTAAACTTTTGGAATCCGCGCGAGGGGGGGGCCGAAAAGCGTCCGGTAACCATCCCTGAATCGCATGCTCTGAATTCCTGCGGGCCGTGGGACATGTAAAACAATTTCAGTTCGCGCCCCTGACGCAATACTTCCTACTAAATTGCACTGTGTTCGCGCCCCCGAGGCCACGATCCCTGATAAATTGTACCACGCTCGCGCCCCCAAAGCCACGATCCCTCATAAAATGCTCCAAATTAGCGCCCCCGAGGCCACGATTTTAAATTACGCTGCATTCGCACCCCTGGGGCCAAGATCCCGAATAAATTATGCCACGCTCGTGTCCCCGAGGCCACGATCCCTTGCAAATTGCACCGCGCTCGCGTCCCTGAAGCCACGATCCCTAATAAAATGCTCCATATTCGCGCCCCCGAGGCCACTATCTTCCTTAGTAAAGTACCCTACATTCGCGCCTCTGGGCCAATGGGGCCGCGATCCACCGTGAATTTCGCCACAGTTTCTCCCCCGAGGCAACGATCACGCGTAAATTACGCGATATTCGCATCCACGAGGCAAGTCACCCTTGCAAATTATACGCTGCTTGCGTTCCCGAGCCAACACACCCTTGTAAATCATACGATGTTCGCGTCCCCCTTGCAAATGCCTCCGAGGTAACACATCTTCGTAAATAATTTAAGTTTTGCGTCCCCGAGGCAACAAACCCTCGCGAATTGCTCGAAATCGCGTCCAAGCCAAAACCCTTGGTAAATTACCCGATCGGTGCTCCCCCCAGGCCACAAAGCCTCGCAAATAGCTCGATCCTTGCGTTCTGGCGCAACAAACCAGTGTGAATCATTCAATCGTCGCGTCCATGTGGCCATAAACCCTCGCAAGTTCCAAGAAATTCGTATTGTCGAGGCCAAGAATACTCCAAGGCACCCGAAAATGATTCCAAGACGGCCCAAGAGGGCCCCAAGCGGCCCTAAGAGCGTTCCAAAAGGCCTCCCGGGAGAGCCCCAAGAGGCCAACATCGTCGATGTTACATAGGCGTTTGAAGGAGTTTGGGGTTATCGCATTTATCTATCGGCTTTCCGACGCTCCAAGATGGCTCAGTCAAGAAGCTCCCAAGACCGATCCAAGACAGCCAAAAACGCCTCCGAGAGGGCCCCTAGACGGCCCGAGAGGGCAGCTTCCGACAGCGTCAGACGGGCCAGGAGCCGACCAAGATGGCCCAAAATTGCTCTAAGAAGGCCTAAGCTGGCCCGAAAGGCCCCCAAGAGGCCTCCAAGACGGCCCAAGAGGTATCCAAGAGGGCCTCCAGGAAGGCCCGACGAGGCCAAAACCATTGATTTGTCCTCGGTTTTGAAGGATGGTGGCATGTGCTTCTTTCCGGCCTTCCGACAGCCCGAGACGGCCCAAGAGCCCAGAACGATCGCCCCAGAGGCCTCCAGGACGGCCCAAGAGGCCCCCAAGATGGCCCCAAAAAGGCCACCAGACGGCCCAAGAGGCATCCAAGACGCCCAAGATGGCATCCAAGACGGCCCGCACCCCAAGAGGGCTTCCAAAAAGCCCAGAGAGGCCCCCCAGACGGCTTCTGACGGCGTCGGACGGGCCAGGACTGCCCCGAGAAGCCCCCAAAGGCCCCCAAGAGGTCCAAGGAAGCTCACAAGATACCTCCAAGAGGCTCCCAGGAAACTCCCAAGAGGCCAAAAGAGTGCCCCCCAAGGCTCCCAAGATGCCCCGTCCTCCTCCTCTTCCCCCTCCCCCTGTCCTCCTCCTCCTCCCCCTCCTCCTCCTGCTCCTCCTCCTCCTCCTCCTCTTCCTCCTCCTCCTCCATCTCCTCCTCTTCTCCTCCTCCTCCTCCTCCTCCTTCTCCTCCTCCTCCTCCTTATCCTCCGTCCTCCTCCTCCTCCTCCTCCTCCTCCTCCTCCTCCTCCTCCTCCTCCTCCTCCTCCTCCTCCTCCACAATTACTCAATATGAAAATACTCTCCCTCTTCCCCTGATGGCGTCCGGGTGATGGCCGCGCACCCTCCGCGCACTGTTTTTTTACACAGGATTCCCGGGAAATCCCGGGAAACGACTCTCGCTGAGGCGCCGGCGTCATTTTTTCCCAAAATGCTGCTCTCGTTGAGGCGCCGGCCTCATTTCTGCTCCCGAATCGTTCCGAATCGTGCTCCCGCTGCAGCGTGGGCCTCATTTTCGGATCGGTGTTTGGCCTCCGTCGTTCAGGATGGCGTTCTCGCCCCAGCGCGGGCCTTTTCTCGCGCGCCCATCCGCCCGCCACCACCGCGCCGCACCACCACCACCACCACCACCACCACCCACCACCACCACCACCACCACCACCACCACCACCACCACCACCACCACCACCACCACCACCACCAACCACGCACACACGCACGCACGCACGCACGTGCACCACCACCCACTACGCACGCGCGCGCGGAGCCACAGGTCCGCTACGACACGCGTCCGGATAGAGAAAATCAGCGCCATGGTAAGGGATGCGAATATCAGCGCCATGGTAAGGGATGGGAGGGAGGGGTAGGACGTCAGATATGACGCGAGCGCACCTAGCTTGCCCTCCCCTCCTCCCCCTCCTCCTCTCCTCCTCCTTCTGTTCTTCCTCCTCCTCCTTCTTCTCCTCCTCCTGATCTTCCCCGCCATCCTCCCCCAAGTCTTTCCCGAAGGGTTTCAAGAACGGTTGGGGGAACACATGGTCCGATAGCTCGGCAGAGCTCTCGCCACAACGCACGGACACATGGGCACTGTCAAACCTATTGCGCCTCCACGCGTTCCCCGAAGGCTCTCCAAACCGACTCGGGGAACAACTGGCCCGACAGCTTGGCCAAGCTCTAGCCCATCTGTCGGCCACACAGGCGCTTCCACAAGGGCAGGGGATGGCGATGATTCGCCGTAGGTGTCTTCGATAATGCCAACGTCTCAATATGCGCTGACGACTCCTATCCGCCCCCGCATGATGTTCCCAGTTGCGCCAAGGCAGCGCCGAGACGCACTGACGCGACTCTGATATATACCATTCTGATAGAGGGGGCCGGCGGCAGGGGGCGAAGCCCTTAATTACGGACAAACATACGATACCGCTGAAGGCAACGCAATGGTCACGGTCATGAAGGTCTTTGCCGCGGGCGCCGTACCAAGAAACTGAACACGTAAATGACGAATGTGGAACCCGTGATGCCACATACGCTAAACGGCTACGAGATGGAAGCACTCCACGAGACGGAAGTACTCCAACCGCTAGAGCACGCCAGTCTTCAAGACCACTCACTATTCTACCCACTACATGAAGCGGTACATATGCGCTATTTCACGCAACCGGAGGCCCAATATTGTGGTTCGTCGCCGCAACACCTGTGTGCACGCTGCTCGATGTGTGCGCGGCTTCCCGAACAGCGCGCGCCTGCCAATTGCCAAGCCGCGACACTCTCCCTTCCCGCGAGCGGAAGAACGCCCAGCCGATCTCCTGAATGAGGAGGCAGAGGGTGCCTGGGGCGCGCGGAGGCTAGGCCACGGTGTCCGAAGAATCCAGGGGCCGACCACCTCGCTATGTCTGAGGCTTGGAAGCTGGACTCTCGCAGAAAGATTCTCACGCCGAGCTGGACCACTCTCTGGGGGGAGGCAAACATGGCACCCCAGAGGTCTGGCACCCTTCCCGGGAACCATCTTTTCATCCTGAATAGTGCTCGGGAGCGGCCAAGAGGGGGGTGTCCAACAGGGGGGGGTGCAAATCGTGACTGGCGGCATGTGCGCGGCCCAACGGGGGGGCCAGGGACGCAATGCAATAAGAAGAGGCGCCATGAAAACTGGGGAAATATCATGGCCCCCGCCATGATATCCCCCCCCCTAGTCATCACCCCCCTCTTTTCCGCCCCCGAAGTTATTGGTCTGCCCTGGGCCCAGAAAACGCCCCCGCAGGCCGAAATCGGCCTAACACCTCCTGTCTTGCGTTTAGCCACGATGCGAGAGGATGTCAGGGGGGGGAGCAGGAGGGATAGGTGAAGGAGGGGGGGTTCTGCCAGAGGGAATCCTGCTCGGAAAACCCAGCCCGCCCATCGGATGCGCCTCTCTGCTGAAAACCGCTCGGACGAGGCTACTAGAAACAACGTCAAGAGGGAAAGCGTTTAAAGCAGATCGGGCTTCAGCACGCCCAGGTGCTGTGCGGGAGCAGGAAGCCATCGCTTACTGATGCAGGAAGGCGCTCAGAGCACGGCAGGGCGTGCGGGTCCACAAAAACACGCACGTGCTCTCAACGAACGACCGGTGCTGGCGGAGTGATCCTGGCAGCTGGGCCAGACAGCGGCGCCGTGCGACCCCCTGCCCAAGCCAGCATGCCACTCCAGATTTCGTAATAAAGGGAGGGGGGTCTCATTTCGGGGGGGGTCTCTTCCAGGCTATCTTGGAGGGCCTGGGGGGTCTGGGGACGATGTTTTGGAGGGTTCTCCCACGGGGGAGGTCTGAAATGGCTTGTCTTGGAGGGTCCAGACCCCCTCCCTTTTATTACGAAATCTGGAGTACCAAGCGAGACTGACTCGGACCAACTCTTCATCCCGCATCGTGCTTTGACCGGGGCCCGGCGCGGGCTCCTGGAGGCTGACATCTGCAAACAAATCTTCCACCGTGATATTCGTCACGACTCGAAGACGTCAGAGATCGGCGGCGGCGGCGGCGGCGGCGACGACGACGACGGTGGACAGCACATCCCCCCGAAGAAGAGGGCGAGGCAGGGCTGACCAGGGGGGGAGAACCAGGATAAGCGGGTGCGGTGCACTTCCATCACTCGGTCCACGCTCGAGGAAACTCCTCTCGCTGCTGTTACCTGGTTGACATCTCCAGCCCTGCTGCAGAGGAGTCGAACTCTCGAATCCATTCTGGGAGCCCGCACAAAACAGCCTCCGCAGCACCTGGCCCCCCCACCAGCACACCGCATCCAGAGCGGATCTCGTCTCGCGCTGGCTCGAGCGTTGCCCGAGATCCATCCGCCCCCGCAAGAACCCCAAGCCGTTCATCTCACCAGCCGCTCCTCGGGTCATGTGGTTCCCATCCCACTTAAGGACCACATCCCAGAAATAATTTCGAGCCCCCGGAAAAGTGTCAAAAGAGTGCCGAAAGAGTGTCGAAATAGTGTCGGACGAGTGTTCCCAGGGCCCGACACGTGAAAACCCTCGAGTTCGGTATTTTTTCTGGTGCTCGAAATTCTTTCTGGTGGTCAAAAGCTAAAGTAGGTTGAAACATCATAACCCAAGCCGTGCATCTCACCCGCCGCTCCTCGGGATCACTCCCGTCTCTCCTGGCTCCCTCGTCCCAGTCCCGCCCACCGTGTCAGAAGCTGAATGGCAAGCGTATCACAAACTCCACACCCTGTGCTCATCACGCCTTCCCTGCCTTTTTGAGCGGCGAGATGCTGGGATTCCTGTGGCCCGTAAGCGTCGCCGCGGGCTATATGCAAGTCCACGTAATGCTCTCCTGCCAGCTCCTCCAACATCTCCTCATCACACCTCCTCCTCCTCCTCCTGCTCCTCCTCCTCCTCCAGGAAGCGGGGTCTTGCCGATGAGTACGGGCACCATCACGCACATCCTGCCGGTGCGCAAATAAGAAAGTGTGTGACAGTGTCAGCTCAAGGAGCGACATTCGTAGCCGTGGCGGCAACACCTGTCTACGAGCATCTGCCATCAACAAACATATGGCCGACGATCAATTGCTCGCGTGGTAGAAAAGAATTTGAGTTATCGAAGACCAGTATGGCAATGACATACACGTGCAACCTTTGCGGTTTCCTTGAACATGTGCTTTCCGTGTGAACCCAGCGTCTGTGGCGTAGAAAGTGTGCTCGTCAAGTGGCGGTGTTACGTCGAGGTGTTATGGTATCCGAGGTGAGGGTCGATTTCGAATACCTTGTAGCATACGCCAACGTCCAAAACACATGATGATACTAGTGTTGGCTTGCGGGCATAAGTTATGGAATCGGAGCCAGAATTATTGAAAAACGACCAGGCGGTAAACGATTGTCATTCCTGCCCCCCCCCTAACCGCGTCAGAAGACTAAGCCGACAACTCCTGCAGCAAGACCATATTTGCACTGCACTCTGGACGAAGAGCCTCCACCTTTCGCCTCCCTTCACAAGTCTGAGACATCAAGCCTGATTGGAAGAACCAGAAGCTGCACAAACATAGCATGTCCGATGACAACGCGGGGGATTTCTTGGATCGGCGCTGGACCCCCTCCCTGGCGCGCTCCGCGCGACAAGGACAGCGCCGGAGGCGCCGCCAGGAGGTGTCCAGCGCAGATCCAAGACATCCGCGAGTACCCCGAAACTTCATGTTTACGCTGATGACTGGCGGTCGAGTGACGGCAGGGTGCTCAGCACGGCATACAATGGACTTGTACCAGTGACCTTCGCACATGTCCCTCTAACCGCCACACATAAGGCGGCAGGAACGACGCACTCTGCGAGGGAGCATTCAAGTACAAAAGCCTCCCCCTATTACTCATGATCACTTCAAGCTGCATCGTGACCAAATCTGGCATGCGCAGGGCGAGATAGTTCCTTGCTAAGCAATTCGGGATGGCCATCAAATTGGTGTTGATGTCGTTGCTGACAACCTGGCGAATACCCCATCCGAGAACTTCTGAACTCGTTCGTCGTTGATGATGTTGATGATGATGAGGATGATGACGATGATGTGTCATGGTCACATTGTTGTGAGTACAGAGGTGCGTACTGCATATACACCTCACTTCCAAGCTTGTTTTATGAACTCGAGATGCGTGTTTTCGTCGACACGCTGGAAGCCATGATGTAATGAAATCATGTCGTCCCCGTCAGGGGCTGCAACCCATGATGGCTGGGATCGTTTCACCGAGACTTACTACACTCGGGAAGACCCCGATAGCGAAGTATATGACGACCCACCCAGAGCGGGGGAGCCTACGAATACTAGATCCGAGTTAGGTGAAATATTGTGGGTGATCTTCACGGACCAGATTACAATGATTAAAAGCTATTAACATGCACTAGTGGTAGTAGAGGTAGCAGTCGTAGTAGTAGTAGTGGTAGTAGTAGTAGTAGTAGAAGTAGTAGCAGTAGTAGTAGTAGTACTAGTATTAATAGTAGTAGTAGTAGTAGTAGTAGTAGTAGTAGTAGTAGTAGTAGTAGTGGTAGTAGTAGTGGTGGTGGTGGTAGTAGCAGTAGTAGAAATTAGAATAATGGTAGTAGTAGACGTAGTAGTAGTAGTAGTAGTAGTAGTAGTAGTAGTAGTAGTAGTAGTAGTAGTAGTAGTAGTAGTAGTAGTAGTTAGTAGTAGTAGTAGTAGTAGTAGTAGTAGTAGTAGTAGTAGTAGTAGTAGTAGTAGTAGTAGTAGTAGTAGTAGTAGTAGTAGTAGTAGTAGTAGTAGTAGTAGTAGTAGTAGTAGTAGTAGTAGTTAGTAGTAGTAGTAGTAGTAGTAGTAGTAGTAGTAGTAGTAGCAGTAGTAGTAGCATCAGTAATCGTAGAAAAAAATAGCAGCAGCAGCAGCAGCAGCAGCAGCAGTAGTAGTAGTAGTAGCAGTAGTAGTCGTAGTAGTAGTAGTAGTAGTAGTAGTAGTAGTAGTAGTCGTAGTAGTAGTAGTAGTAGTAGTAGTAGTAGCAGCAGCAGCAGCAGCAGCAACAGCAGCAGCAGCAGCAGCAGTAGTAGTAGTAGTAGTAGTAGGAGTAGTAGTAGTAGTAGTAGTAGTAGTGGTAGTAGTAGTAGTGGTAGTAGTAATAGCAATAGTAGTAGCAGTAGTAGTAGTAGTAGTAGTAGTAGTAGTAATCGTAGAAGTCGTCGTAGTATTAGTTGTAGTGGTTGTAATGGTGGTAGTCGTAGTGGTAGTAGTAATAGTAGTAGTAGAGTTGTTGTTGCTGATGGTGTTGTTCTTGCAGCGGAGGGAGGAAGGATGAGGGAACAAAGATGGAGGATGAGGGGGGGAGTGCGTCCGGAAAAATAACAAAGACGCAAACCGATACATTCCTTCCGAAACAACCGACACATTCGGACAGTTTTCAAGTCATGGTTTTGGGGCGGTCCATCTCGGACATTTTCGGGCGATGAACGAGCCCCAAAGATAAAGTTCGCGTGTGGGGGGAGTGACGGTAGTAGTCGAAGCCGTGGTATGAGAATAATGGTGATGTAGTAGTACTAGTCCTAGTCCTAGTCCTAGTCTTAGTCCTAGTCGTAGTCGTAGTTGTAGTCGTAGTCGTAGTCGTAGTAGTAGTAGTAGTAGTAGTAGTAGTAGTAGTAGTAGTAGTAGTAGTAGTAGTAGTAGTAGTAGTGTAGTGGTAGTAGTGGTAGTAGTGGTAGTAGTGGTAGTAGTAGTAGTAGTAGTAGTAGTAGTGAAAAGGTACTAGTACTCGCACTAGTAGCTGTAGTAATAGCAATAGTAGTCGTAGTAGTAGTAGTAGTAGTAGTAGTAGTAGTGGTGGTAGTAGTAGTAGTAGTAGTGGTGGTAGTAGTAGTAATAGTAGTAATTATAGAAATAATAATAGTCGTCGCACTAGTCGTAGTAGTAGTAGTAGTAGTAGTAGTAGTAGGAGTAGTAGTAATAGCAGTAGTAGCAGTAGTAGCAGTAGCAGTAGTAGTAGTAGTAGTAGTAGTAGTAGTAGTAGTAGTAGTGGTAGTAGTAGTACTGATGGTAGTAGTAGTCGTACTAGTAGAAACAATAGAAGCAGCAGCAGTAGTAGTAATAGTAGCACGCTGGAGTAGTAGCAGTAGTAGTAATAGTAGAAGAAGAAGTAGTAGTAGTAGTAGTCGTAGCAGTAGTAGTAATAGTAGTAGTAGTAGTAGTAGTAGTAGTAGTAGTAGTAGTAGTAGTAGTAGTAGTAGTAGTAGTTGTTAGTAGTAGTAGTAGGTAGTAGGTAGGTAGTAGTAGTAGTAGTAGTAGTAGTAGTAGTAGTAGTAGTAGTAGTAGTAGTCGTAGTAGTAGTAGTAGTAGTAGCAGTAGCAGTAGCAGTAGTAGTAGTAGTAGTAGTAGTAGTAGTAGTAGTGCTAGTAGTACTAGTAGTAGTAGTAATCCCTTTAGTGAACCTCCCCTAAGTGAAAACGGCCTAAGACCGAAACCGACGGACCTGGACCCGCAAAAAATGACGGCCGCGACGCCCTCTCGCGAACCGAAAACGGCCAATTCCTTAATCGACGTGTCACGGAAGGAGGTCTGTCCACCCCCGACTTACCTACAGCCAAGATGTAATTGCGGGATGCGTCCGCGTGCCAAATGTCTGAATGGTTCGGATCCTTTTAAAGCACTCCCCGTGAGGTCTCGGTCGATCGCGCCGTCCACCCGGAGAACGAATGCAAGCAAGGTGTCAAAGCACACGGGCAGCGATGCAGCACTGTGGGCAGTGGCGCCGCACAGCGATGTTCCAGGCTTCTGCTGGAACCGCCACCATCTGTCGAACGTCATGCGCACTGCTTTCGCGCCTGCTGGCTCTCGCTGTTACTGGGCCGAGCTGGCAGACGCCCTGGAATCTCGTTGTGTGAGAAGCGGGGTGCATGCCGCTGTAAGGAACCCCACGAGATGCACAGGAGGGGCAATCCCCGCGTTGAATTCTGAAGGCGGCCTGCTGGCCGTTGACCAGCTAGTGTGAGGGACACCGACAGGAGGGCACGAGCTCAGTGTCAAGTCGGGCCTGTCCCCCTACAGGGGGATTGTCGACGAAAAATACAAGGCACCCCACAAAATAATCCAAACATAGTCCAAACATAGCCTGAGGACTATTTTTTTAGTATTTGTTGACCTTTTGGGGGCATTTGTGGTAGTTGTTGATCTTTTGGGGGCATTTTTTTGCATGCTTTGTTTTTCGTCGAAACTGCTCCTGTAGGGGGACACGCTCGACTTAAAACTCAGCGGGAGAAGCATCGACCTGGACTCGGCGAGACTTAGGCGGGGCGAACAGGGCCATCCAGAAGGTGGGCCGTCGAAAGGGTGCATGGAACGGCTTTCGGGGAGGCGTTCCAAGATTTCTGGAACGCCTTTCCGCCCAGCGTTCGGAGCAGTTCGGTCGCCTCGGCCCACGGCCCGCTACCGCGTCGACATGGAGACACCTCGAAGCGGGATCAGGCCGCACGAGTGAAGCCAAATTGTCTGCGAGGGGCAGCCTTGGAATTGCTGTTCTGCCACCCTCTCTCCTTCTCGTCCTATGTGTGCCCGTCGACCGCCGCGCCCTTTCTATGGCGCCGAAGTGGCCACTTCGCCTGGTCTGCCCCGTGCACGCTCCCGCGCTGGCCCTCCCCCTGCCTCCGCCCACCGCGCAGCCCCTTGCCCCCTCCGCCGCCACCTCCCCTTTTCTCCCTTCACTCCCCTTTTCGCCCCGCGTCCTCCTCGTCGTCGTCGTCGTCGTCGTCGCCCCTCGTCCCACACCAGTGTCGTTCAGCGCCTCACTGATGCTAGTCCGCTCCTTACATCTGCCAACCGCACTCATTTTCTCTCGCACTCTGCCTCCCTCATCCCTCCCCCCCCTCCCCCTCCCTTCCTCCAGCTCCCCTGTCCTATTTCGCATTCCCCCGTCCCCTTCCCCTTCCCTCCCTCCATTTGCCCCTTTCTTCCAACCTCGTGCTCTCCCGCTCCCACCCCTCCCCATTCCCTCCGCCGCCAGCCCTTCCCGAACGCTGTTCCGGGAAGGCGCGCAGCCCTTCCCGAACGCTGTTCCGCGGAGGCCGAATGCAGGCCCCAAGTGGGCCATCCGTCCGGCTGATGCTCCGAGGCCCCAAGTGGGCCATCCACCCGGCTCCTGGAGGCCGCCCCCCCCGAGGCCCCAAGTGGGCCATCCATCCGGCTCATGCACGCCCCCGACCCTCGCACGCCCTGCGCGCAACCCCCTCGCCGCCCCCAGGCCCCAAGTGGGCCATCCACCCGGCTCATGGAACATCACACCGGGGCACCCAGTACCCCTGCACCGGTCCAGGGCCCCAAGTGGGCCATCCGTCCGGCTGATGCTCCGAGGCCCCAAGTGGGCCATCCACCCGGCTCATGGAACCCCTTCCCAGAGCTCCCTCGGAAAGGCGTTCCGCGCCTCGGGGGAAGGGTACTCGCGCGCCTGGCCGCCTTGGCTCCCGCGACCCAGGGCGCCCTTGCACCGATCCCAAACCACCCCGCCTCTCCCTCCCCTTCTCCTGCTCCCATGCCTCCCTCCCTCCCTCCCTCCCGCCAGCATTCCTGCCCTCTCGCCCCGCACCTCGTCGTCCCTTTTCTCCCTTTTCGCCCCGCGTCGTCGTCGTCCTCCTCCTCCTCCTCCTCCTCCTCACATGTCCTCATCCTTCCGCCCCCCCTCCTTCCTCCTCCATCATCCTCCGCAATCCTGCTCCCGCCCTCCTCCCTCATCGTCCTCCATCCTCATCCTTATGAACCTCCTTTTCCTCCTCCTCCTCCCTCATTCATCCCATTATCACCTCTCCCTCCTCCTCCTCCTTCTCCTCCTTCTCCTCCTCCTCCCCTCCTCCTCCCCCTTTTTTTTGACAACCCAACGTCGAGGCAAGTTCACCGCGTCTAGAAGGGCAGCAGTACAGGTGTGGAGGACACCGAGAAAACATGAAGGGAGAAGACATCGAAAGCC